CGTCGTACCAGCGCCAGCATCATTAGAAACCGGTCTCATGTGGCCTAATGTTAAGTACTCCGCCATGAATTTGTCGTAGTCGTCCTTCAACTTGGGCTCCTTAGCAAATCTCCGTTCGAGTATCTCAAATCGACGAACTGCTGTTACTGTTCACTATTTATTAAACTTTGTTCTTCAACTTTGTGAACTTGTTCTCTCAAAGGTTGGCGTGGAAAATAACTAGTGCTATTCTTCGGACCGGTAGCGGACCATATATTTCCCTTTTCCCAAAATGTCCCTTTCCTTCTTGATCCATTAGTCCCATTCAAAATTTCCCTTCTCCTCCATGATCCGGGTGGTGGGTGTTGTTTTCTGTAGGTGTATAACAGTTGGTGTGTTTCTGTATTTAATTCGACAGTTCATACTGGAGTTCATGTTATTCAGTTCCCTAATTCCTATCTGTTTTATGTATATGAATTAGCCATTAGTGCTCTACTATTCCTTCACTGTTAAGTTTTAGCAACAATATGAATAATAATATCATTAATTCTAAGCCAACATTAGATCAATCATTACTGATTATAAACTATCATGGTTCTCAGCCATGAGCGCACCGAACAGCAGTATACTAGTGGATTGCTGTCTCGTTCGGTAGAGTGCTCGCTCTTTATAGCACTGCTATCGCTCTGCTTGAGCTTTTTCCATAGGGCAAAGTACCCAAACGGTAACAAGTGTTGCGGCCGTTTCCTACTTCATTCGTGGAATGTCCAACAGGTCCTGCAGGTGTCGCTTTTTGAGCAAGTACTCATTCGAATAGCGGTTGATCAGCGTCTGCCACGCCAACTGGTAATTGGCAGCACTGATGGCGATCGTCTCGATGATCTGAGCAGCCTCTCCCTTGACTGCTGTACGGAGGTAATGGAACTTTTGGATCGGCGGTAGGTCCTGGTTGTCATGGATCAAAGCCAGGAATGTGTCGTGGAATGTCAGCCACTGCTTATAACCACCGTTGAATTCTGGGATAGAGATAGTCGGCAACTTCAAACCAGCCGTCCACCTTGGCAAGAAGGGGGTATATTGGCTTGCGAAATGAGTGGTGGCGGTAACTGTTGGCTTTTATTTTTAAGAGCCTTGGCTCAAAGGACGGTATTGAAGATTTAAAGCTTTACCTTCATTAGTTTTCTCCAGATCCTCCAAAGCTGTCTGCACGTCCTCAAGAGCATTCCACAGGTAGTCGAGGTTATCCAGTCGAAGCGGTACCTCGAGCCCATCCCGTTCGGCGTTGAAGTTCTCGACAAATAGCGCGACAAATAGCTCGTTGGCTCACAGGAATTCGCTCGGTTGGGGAACAGGAGATCGTGTGATTGGTCCACGAAATGAATCGACAAATGAGATGGTGTCGTTTTAGGCTGCCTTCGACAGCTTGGGTAGCAGTAACTCTGCGCTTCACTCGATGGACAGGAACACGGCCGTCAACGTGGGCGATACACGACCGTCGATGGGAATCACTGAAGATGATTTCCGATTGGTGGCTTGATGGTGGACACTTGCTGGCAACGTTTTGCCAAATCGCAGCTCGACAGGTATGAGCAAAAGGTCACCGATGATCGATACGAGTAGCATGCAAAAACGGAGAAAAACGATCTAAAGGCACCCGTGGACAAATGTGCACGATTTGGACAGGTACTTTACCTGATAGTTGATTCAAAATGCCTTGAATCAATCAAGAAATCAACTCCGTTCTCCAAAGTTGTGCGATGGCGTCGTATGCATGCAATAGGATGAGCACAATAGGATCCTTTCTTTGGCCGTCGCTCAATAGATGGATCGATGGCGTCAGCGTCCAACTGGGATGGCGTCGAACAAAAGGGATTTGATCCGGTGGGTACGCTTGGAAGATGGCGAAACCGGTGAGGCTCACGATCCTGGTCACGGCACCTGAATGTTGGGGCAGATCTGGGCTCACCTGGATCTATATCTTCACCACGGGTTTATTACATACACTTATAAGTTCCCTGAACTTTTACCTTTATTGGGTCGAGAAACTAAAATTTTCATGCATTCAGTACACTTAATTATTATTTGCTCCGATCTCATCGGTGGTTGGTGATACGACTAACGAGTCAATCCAAACTATATCGGGCGATGCCCAGCATCCGATCAACCGATCTACCGAGGGCGCGAGAGAATGAGAATAATCTCCACACGTTATCGGTATCGGTCACCTATTTTATATAAACGAAAACATCGAACTGCAACAAGGACAATTGATCTAAATTCGTTGACTTTTAGCAAAGATATTTAATTAACAAGATATCCCACTAATCAAATCCTCGTACAAGGCAATGGATACACCACCCTTATGTGATCGCAGTGCCATCTAGTGAGTGCACATTGAAACTGTTGGGAGTTCCCCGCCAACTTCACCACCAGGGCTCAATAAATGACAGGTGTCAGTATGACAAGACGGCCAAGGGAAGAAGATGATCGATGTTATCATAATTATATTTCGATAATAAAATTCTCACTTTGTTGCGATTGTATCGATTTTCAATCATTACCACGTTATACGCCACAGAAACGCTTGAGAATACAAGGACACATACAAGCTGGGCTTGTAATATATTTTGCTTTCGAGTGAACGAGTTTCCAATATCACCACCGGTATCAGTAAGATGCATTGTTTACAATAGCTGATACGGCCCTTCGAAAAAGTAATCGAAAATTGATGATTTGTGAATAAGTTGCTCAACATAATCTTTATATGCATAGAAGTATACTTCGAAAAACACAATGTATTGAAATCATTGCTTTGTAATAAAATATGCCGTCTTCATTGGCCAACGCTGTACGCATTCTATTCAAAAATTACGTTGGAATAATGATTACTTTCCTATTTTATAAAGAAGGTATTTGTCAACGCCACCGAAATCGCAAACTGAAGCTGCCAGAGCTGAGTGAAGACGATAAGTGATGACACCGCTTCGTGTTTTGATTTGCACTGTACCCTCCCCTCAGTGGTGTGGGTTCGTACATGCATAGATGTTGGTGTGCGTGTTTTCTTTCAACGCTGCAGTTCAACGTTGTATCGTCACAAACCTATTGGCACTGTTATCTGTCTCTATAAATTCCAAAGAGTGAAGGGGGTCTGCTGATATCGTCCTCTTTCCTCGGCTGATCATCAACGTCCGTATTGACATCTGTCATGCTGACACCTGTCAGTTATTGAGCCTAGGTCGTGAAGTTGGCGGGGAACTCCCAACAGTTTCAATGTGCACTCAACAGATGGCACTGCGATCACATACGGGTGGTAATTATATGCCTTCTATGAGGAATTGATTAGTGCGATATCTTGTTAATTAGATATCTTTGGTACAGGGCAAATCAAAACACGAAGCGGTGTCATCACTCAGCTTCGGCAGCTTCAGTTTGCGATTTCATTCGCCGTCATTGAAAAATACCTTCGTTATAAAATAGAAAAGTAATCAATATTCCAACCTAATTTTTGAACAGCCAATAACATGCATCGTTGGTCAAGGAAGACAACATATTTATTACGATTGTTTAGCAATGATTTCGATACGTTGCGTTTTTCCATGTATACTTCTATGCTTATAAAGATTATGTTGAGCAACAGCATCATAAATCACAAAATCTCATTACTTTTTCGAAGGGAAGTATCTGCATTTGCATCATACTGATACCAGTGGTGATATTGGAAACTCGTTCACTCGAAAGCAAAACATATTACAAGCCCATCATGATGTGAGCTTAAATTTGATTGTTTTCTCAAGCGTTTCTGATGCGTATAACGTGGTAATGATTGAAAATCGATGCAACCATAACAAAGTGAGAATCTTGCTATACACGGATAGAAATCTCCTTATACCTTTTGGCAAATTTCTATTGCTGATTATTCATAAAATGTATAAGTCAACTAATAAGCAGACGCCTTGCAAATAGTTTATGAAGATCATGTGTCAAATGAAATGTATAAGCGGTCACACATACCTTTTATGCATTCTTATAGGACCTATATGGTTTGTCTTATGGAATGTATAAGGCTGATGTTTGGCAAAAATGTATAAGTGAAACACATGAATAAAATAATTGATTTTCGTTTCGTGTAACAATATAATGATGATGACATCGATCATCCTCTTCCCTCGGCTGATCATCAACGTCCGCGCTGACATATGTCATACTGACACCTGTCATTTATTGAGCCCTGGTGGTGAAGTTGGTGGGGGACTCCCAACAGTTTCAATGTGCACTCACCAGATGGCACTGCGATCACATAAGGGTGGTGTATCCATAGCCTTGTTCGAGGAATTGACTAGTGGGATATCTTGTTAATTAAATATCTTTGGTTCCAGCCTAATTGTTGTATGTTTTTTGATAGCTGATATTTGTGATCTAGAAACTTCTAGCTGATACTGAGATAAATATGATATAAAGTTTAAATAACGTTGGGCTTTAGGTAGTGATAAACATCGCAAGAACTATTCCACAGCCGCAGACAGTATATGAGCAAGTCAAACGCGCATTCTTTTGCCTGTGGAATTGAGGACATACCTCATCCATCAAAGTATGAGTTTGGGATCACTGTTTCTTAATAGAGCTATTTCAGATGAAATTGTCGAATTGTTAGCCTTTCTTTTTGTTAAAGGGCAAATGCATGCAGATTGATAAAACAACTACAAACAAATGCTCTCCAGATCTTAGATCACAATTTCGTAACATTCACACGAATGACGTTTCTCCTCGTTTCACCGATCCGACATGACCACAGAATGACCTTTGTACACATATTATCGCAAAAACCATGTCATTACTTTCCTCCGCATGAAGAGTCGTTTTCGCAAACCATGCGTGACGAATCGTCGCAACGACACATGTGAGTCTGCCAACTACGGTTCACATGCCCATGGCAGCCGCATTTGATTACGAAATCTACTTGTTTATATGATAAATGGTCGATAATGATTCCCCTCTGCTTTTTTCTCTACTTTCACCCTCAGCCGAGGGAAGGAGACCACCACAACGATTCCAACTTCAACCAGCATGTCGAACCTTACCGAATCCCAGCATAGTTCATCATCTGGAGACCACTTGTAGTACCGAAGCCATGATCGTGATCGCATCGCTCCTGCATCTATTTAAGCTTGGATTACTACTGATAGCTACGAGGAGCAACGTCCAGGCCCAGATCCAAGATGTCACCATCGTTCTCAGTCAGGGAACGATCGTCGGGGTAATCTTAACCACCAACTCTCATAAACAAAAAAAATATTTCCCAAATTTCTCGATGTTCACAGCTCAAAGTATTCCCGGAGACGTCTCGCATTCCCGTCTTCACCTACCTGGGCATCCCCTACGCGAAGACCCCATTGGATGACCTTCGTTTCGCTCCTCCGGTGCCAAGTCCCGGATGGAATCGGACCCTCTACGCTCGGGACTTCAAACCGATTTGTCCACAGTTGGAGAACAACAGCTACGACGATGTGGACTCGCAGGGTCGGTACAAATTCCGTGAAACCAGCGAGGATTGCCTTTACCTAAACATCTGGATGCCGGAAACGGCCATCAGATATGGAGGCTTCCCGGTACTGGTCATGATAACCGGAGAAGAAATGGCTTTCGATTGGTCCATAAACCGGGCTACGGGATTGGATCTAGCCTCGGACGGGATCATTGTCGTAACGGTTCAGTACCGTTCGAATGTCTTCGGATGGCTGTCCCTTGGTCAGAAGTATGCCCCTGGAAACTTGGGGCTACGCGATCAGCAGCTGGCACTGCTGTGGGTAAAAGATAATATACAAAAGTTTGGAGGAGACACCAATAGGATCACCCTCTTGGGTCACGGCACTACAGGAGGTCCAAATGTTATGACTCACCTGGTAAGTCCAATGGCCCGGGGGTTATTCTCCAAGGCGATCATAATGTCCGGTACGATCTTCTCGCCGTACTCCCGAGTAAATACTGATCGAAGCCTGTCGGAGGAGATTGTGAAAATTCTGGCCTGCAACTACGACATTGGACGCAACGTACTCAAATGTCTACAGCAGAAAAGCGTGCACGACCTGCTCAAGGCCTATGAGTACGTCTACCGGAATGGAAACTACACGATCAACCTGGGCCCTATCGTAGATGATTATCTACCAGCCATGGAGCGCTACGTTATGGACGATCCTCGATCGTTGTTCACCTCGAAATCTTTCATCATAGAGGATATGCCGATCATGTTCGGCATCACGAGCAACGAAGGCGGTTTCATGCTGAACAAATGGCTGGACTTTGCCAAGCAAGGGCAGGGCTATCTCCGGAAATACGTCAACGAATCATTGATTCCGAACATTTTGGAACAGTACGAGTACGATGGAATTGGGCGGAATCAGGTGAGTTTTTAAACTTTGAAAATAAACAATCTAAACTGTGATCCCTTCTCCTTTAGATTCGCGAAACCATTAGTTGGCGATTTTTCGACCAAATCCCGGACTCCACTGCCCACCTGCTTCATTCGATCATCAAACTAACCACGGAAACCAAGTTCGAAATTCCATTCTACAAGACACTGGAAGTTCTCAGCATGACCACTCCAGATGCCATCCAGGACCCATCCAAGCCCGATGAAACCCAGCAAGCCCTCCGAGGTGGCGGAAACCTGTACGTCTACCTTTTCCATCACTCCAACTCGATGGATATGCGAGGCAAGATCAACTACTTTGGCGGTGCTTCACACTCGTCCGATCTGCCGTTCCTGATGGGACCCAGTCTTTTCCAGGAAATCGGACGAAAGAGACTGTCCCAATCAGAGGATAAGCTCTGCAAGAAAATTCGTGCTCTCTTCTGCGAGTTCATCAAAGTCGGGTAAGGCCTACGTAAATAACGACCGATCACCGTCACTCATACTTATGCCTTCTAGTGATCCAACGCCCAGTCGCAAGGTCGACTCCTGGACGCCATACACGGAGAACCTCAAGTACATCAAACTGATCTCCAACCGAGTTGACGCCATCTTCCAAAACGACAAGCACAGTTTGGAGACCATCTTCGAAGATAACATCAAAACCATCGAGGACAAACTCCTTAACGTCAATCAGGACGACGCCCCAAACCAGGAAAACCCCTACCTTTTGGGTCGTAACAACCTGGACGATCAAGAAAGTTCTCGCTCGTCCAAGAGCGCCATCTTCCTGGACAACACCAAAGATTCCGAATACTTCCACTACCTGCGTCGAATCGATAGCTTCTGGTACAGGTTCCTCCCGAAGCTCACCCAAATCATGAACGCCACCGATCAGGAACGCCTGCGAAACAGACGAATCGATCTGAACCTGGAAGAAGAACAGGAACTGCTTCGCGAGTCTTCCGAAGCGTCCCGCTACAAGCATGCTTTCTTCTCGATGCTTACCCTGGTCTGTATGCTCCTGGCCGTGCTGTGCGTCTGCGTGTACGTGTTGAAGAAGAGTACAAACAAAAGCTTTAGCAGTATTTTATGACACAAGTTCTTCTTCCGGTCCAAGCTGTTCGATCGGAAGAACCGCACCAAGAAAGCGGAAGTGAGTGGTAGTGCGGCGGATGATGACGATGAGTTCAACATTACCGGTATCAGCCACCGGATCAAGACGGCACCGATCGCGACCCGGACCATGACTAGGACTGGGACGGATCGTGTGGTCCGGAGCAATCCGTTGTATGGCGAAAATTACAAACGGTTCGTTACGGGGGGCGAGAGTGTGGGATCCATGGGATTCGGTGCTAGTGCTAGTAATAAGAGTGTAATTGGGGGCTTGAGAACCGTGGAGGGGTCCTCGATAAGTGGGGCGAGAAGGGGAAATAACGAGTTTGGCGAGAATGTGAATGCCATCCTGACCGATATGGCCGAGGAGTTGGAGGTTAGAAACTGGCGGTATCAGCTTTCCAATGACCATTTTTAGGATGTAAGATGTGTGATAGGTTCTGGAATAGTCTAGTGTTTGCTTTAAGGATTTCTGAGTGATTTTTAGGAAGCTAGATTTCGAATAAAGATTTTCTTTTGAAATAATGTTGTGTCCCTCATGTAAAAAATCAGCATTCTATCACAACTCTACACTGTAGTTCGTAGTTGTAATATCTAATCCAAATGCTCTTGCCCTTGACTAAGTCTGTCATGTGGCACTACGAATCCAAGTGATTTATCATTGATCTTCAAGTGATTTGCGTTTAGAGACAAAGTGATTTGTCGTTGAAAAATATGTACTGTATAACACCTTTAAATCTAAATGATTATCATTCGAATTGGCACCACTGTTTTCATCCATTGAATTTGATTAGTTTTGCTTTTGGAAGCAAATGTCAAAAACGCACATGCCACATTACTCGCGAAGGGGGCAAGTCAGCAACAAATGAAGTCAAATGAGAGAAGCGAAATTCTTCATTTCAACCCGCAATAATATGCATTCTAGAGCGTGAGTATTATGAAATTGATGCTGTATTCAATAATAGTGTATAATAGATGCGTGCAACAAATTACATCGTGATGAACTTTGATTCTAATGTAACGTTAGGTTCTGTTGTCATTGGATGTATTCTGATGTTTTATGCGTGCAACAAATTACATCGTGATGAAGTTTGATTATAATGTAACGTTTGGTTCTGTTGTCATTGGATGTATTCTGATGTCAAATTTTACATCGTCAAGACGTTTGATTCTGATGTAACGTTTGAGGCTAATGTATTTTTATGTACTTGGATGTCACCCTGAAGTCTGAATACATTAAGCGTACAGCAATACACGTTAAAATTTAATGTATTGAAGATGTCTGCTGATGTTTCCTACATTACAATTTCTATTCGGGCAAACAAAACACGTCGGCAAAGCAGCGATCCCGAAAGCTGTATACGAATCTGCTCACAAAGTTCGACTGTGTCGTCATCGACGACGAAACTTATGTGAAGGTGAATTTCAAGCAGCTTCCGGGACAGAATTATTATACCGCATCAGGAAAACGGAAGGTGGCTGAAATTTTCAAAACCATCAAACTATCGAAGTTTCCACAAAAAAATATCTCGTCTGGCAGACCATATGCACGTGTGGTCTAAAAAGCGGCATTTTCATTACTACGGGAACCATCAATCAAGAGATCTACGTCCAGGAGTGCCTGGAAAAGCGGCTGCTACCATTCCTAAAGCAACATAATAGACCTGTGCTGTTCTGGTCGGACTTGGCGAGCTGCCACTATGGGAAAAAGGCAATCGAGTAATACGATGCGAACAACGTGGTTATGGTACCCAAAGACCACAGCCTTCCCAACAGCCCAGAACTCCGCCCTATCGAACGGTATTGGGCCTTGGTCAAACGAAATCTAAAAAAAAAACTAGTAAATCCATGGAAAACGAGCAGCAGTTTAACTTTGAATCTATCTGGCGTTCGGCGGCGAATAAGGTCGATGAGACCACTGTGCAAAATTTAATGGAAGGGGTTAAGCGGAAGGACAGTTCGGATTTGGCAAACCAAAAGAATAAACGAACATTTTTTCCTTTAAATATATGAATTGAACTACCAAAAGAAAAATAAGAAGCTTTTGTGATATGAATTTTGACTGAAAGAAACGATTTTTTTCGGCCAATTTTTGCGCGTTCCAGTCTTTACATTTGTTCACTAGCAATTAACACATTGTTCAATAAGTTATCTTAACTTATTTCTAGAAGAATTTGCTTGTGTTTTATACCATTAGTATCAATGCTCCGTCATATCGTATCTTCAAGTGATCTTCGCAAGCGCCACATTTCGTTCAGGCTCTTTGGAACTTCATGTGTTGAAATATGAAACGCACATTTTAAAGTGAATTGCATATAAAAATGTTCATCACTTACTCACACATGAAATCTGCCTCGACCAACCTGGCAGAACGCGCCCTAACCCTCACTGAACCAAAGGGCAGGGACAAGAATCATAAAGTCACATATGTGTCAAAAGAGATGAATCTGCCAAATTGCCCTGAGGCTCATCCAATCGAAACTTTCTGGGCGTTGACACAGGCAAAGCTTAGGAAACATGTTAAACCCCAAGAGAAGAGGTGACAAAAGGGGGGCGAAAAAAAAAACACTTTTCTGTCAAACGTGAACCAGCTCCTGATTGGCCGATTTCATGTGCGTAAGATAGAGATAGAGATAGATAAAGATAGAGATAGAGATAGAAATAAAAGAGGAAGAAGCCAATTGTCACCTCTTCCTCTTAGGTTAAACCAGCGGATACAGTTGAAAAAAATCATTTTAGTAACAATTGAAAAGGCCTCAACTCCATTCTGTAAACAAACCTTGTAAGGCCATTTTCTCACCAACGCAAACCAACAAAATGAACAGGTAGGGAAAATTCTCCTCTACCCGATTGTGTGATAGGTTTGCGAATGTATGTTTTGGTTCGCGTGAAAATGGCCTTACAAGGTTTGTTTACAAAATGGAGTTGAAGCCTTTTCAATTGTTGGTCTTGATGTATCTAAAAACTCCAAGCATTTGGAGTAAATCCTGATGTAACGCTAAATTCAACTTATGACTTTACTCGATCATTATTTAGGCATCATAAAAGATTAGTAAAATATAAAAAAATATCCAGAAAGCACTGGTGCTAAACTGTGGAAAGTAATAGCAACAATCAATACGAAACTAACGATTTTAAATTGGCTCACCACTTTAGTAGCCTATTGGTCCCAAGCAAACGATTAACGTACCCTATTCTAGTTGAAATTTTATTACTACACTTAGAGTCGGTGTATAATGAGTCACGCCAAGAGTGAAGCCAAGTCTACCTATTGAACTGTCAAACCGGCTACCTATCGTGCAAAGTAAACAAGCATTACGATGCTATGAAAGGTCCACGAAAGGTATTGCAATTAAATATAAAATATAATCGAAGAAATGATCATACACATGCAGTGAGCATTACATTTGTCAAGCGATACGTTTTGTAATGATCAGTAATGACAATTTCTACTATTTTCTTTAAGATAGTTCGACAAAATCTTTGATATTATAATGATTTACTACAGCCGTTAATTTTTTTCCTCGCTAGAAGTCATTTGAAGTTGATGCAGAACTCCTCTGTTGCCAAGTTAAAAGAAAGGGAATCTTTCGAAAACCGTGATGCGAGTTCAACTGTTTTTCTCTTGGCGTGACTCATTATACACCGACTCTAACTACACTATGTTTGTTTTTGATTCGCTATGAAAGTTTAAAAGATAACATCAGGGGTGTGTGGATTCATGCAGAACATGCAGGGGTGAGTGAAATAGCTTGGGACTGCTTGGGACCGTTGTTCTGGTACTGAGTGAGCCAAAAATAATAATGATTTTCTTCGGGACCCAGTGGTCTTAGAGTTACCTCTATGGTAATAGTTAATGGTATTGTGGTGCTTGGTATTGCTTTCAATCAGCGCACCCCTCGTGAGCGAACAGAGAAAAAGAGGAAGTGTCAGAGTTGTAAAACACGTGAGACAATAAAGAGCTCCTTGAGATTGTCGATTAAAAACAACAAGTTTTATTCGTTTTATTTATTCGCGGTCCGCGTTCGCGCCCCACATTGGTGACCCCGACGGAGAAGAACCGACTGGATAACGTTTCCATACATTTCTTCAACGAAAATGGCAAACCCGAACGAAAACGCTGCCGTCGCCGCTGGCGTCGCCGTAAAACTTCCGGACTTTTGGAAGAACGATCCTGTCATGTGGTTTGCACAGGCAGAAGCTCAGTTTGCCCTCGCGAATGTTCTTAGAGACGATACGAAATTTTATCACATTGTGGCCAAAATCGACCAATCGGTCATTTGCCACGTAACGGACTTAGTGTCGAATCCGCCGGCGGAAAATAAGTACAGTGCGGTCAAGAATCGTTTGATCTCGTGTTTTCAAGTGTCTGCAGAAGGAAGGTTGGAACGTTTGCTGAGTTCCTGCGATTTGGGTGATATGCGGCCAACACATATGCTCGCAAAAATGCAAGAGCTGGCAGCAGGATTAAACGTAACCGATGAGCTCTTGAAAATGTTGTTTCTTCAGAGAATGCCCCCAAACGTTAAAGCCATTCTCACCATCAGTGACGGAACTATCGGTAAATTAGCAGAAATGGCCGACGTCGCAGCTGCGTCGATGCCCACTGGAAACAACGATATGGAAGAATTGCGAGGCCAAATCGCGGCTCTCACTACCGAAATTAGGCACATCAAGGCAAACCGCTCATCCCGTAGCCGTTCGACATCACGTTCGAGTCGAAATGCAAGCGATTTCGAAATATGCTGTTTTCATCGCAAATTCGGTGGTCGCGCTCTCAAGTGTCGAGACCCGTGCCAGTTTAGTAACCAAAAAAACTAAACTCCCGTTCACCCGAATCAGCGGGGGTGGACGGAGCTCTGGAAAGTCGCCGTATTTTGATATTCGATCGTACCAGCAACACAAAGTTTCTTATCGACACCGGTTCGGATGTTTCGATTCTCCCAGCTTCAATTCGTGAGCGTTCGAATGGAACAGCACCTTTCGACCTCCATGCTGCAAACGGTTCCAGAAATAAAGTTTACGACAAACGATTTCTCACGGTCGATCGTGGTCTACGTCGGAGATTCAATTGGCGCTTCTTGATTGGTGAAGTAGGTGTTGCGATTATTGGAGCAGATTTTCTGGCGTCGTACGGAATCCTCGTCGATCTTAAACACCGACGGTTGATTGACGGACTTACTAAATTATCCTCTACTGGGGGTATAATAGACACAACTGTTCACACCATAACCGTGGTCGCCCTAGATCATCCTTTCCAATTATTGACTGAATTTCGAGAAGTAACGTTGCCAACTACAATTAAAACAACGATCCAGCACGATGTCACCCACTACATTCAAACGAAAGGGCCTCCCATAGCAAGCAAGTGTCGTCGCCTCGCCCCAGACAAACTAGACGCTGCTAAGAAGGAGTTCCAGGTGATGAGTGAGCTGGGTATATGCCGTCCGTCTAGCAGCAGTTGGGCTAGTCCTCTCCATTGCGTCCCGAAAAAGAACGGTCAGTGGAGATTCGTCGGTGATAACCGTGCTTTAAACCAGATAACTGTTCCAGATCGCTATCCCGTACCACATATCCACGACCTGTTGAATACGTTTCAGGGCAAAAGCATTTTCACCACACTGGATCTCGAAAGGGTGTACCGTCAAATTCCCGTGGAAGAATCAGATATTCCGAAGGCGGCCGTCATAACCCCGTTCGGGCTTTTCGAATTTACGAGGATGCAGTTCGGATTGTGCAACGCCAGCCAAACCTTCCAAAGATTTAAGCATCAGGTGTTTGCCGATATGGATTTTGTTGTGGTGTTTGTAGACGACATCTGCATAGCTTCGTCGACGGAGGAGGAACATTATCGGCACGTACGAGCAGTGTTCGAACGACTCCGATCTTACGGACTTGTGATAAATGCGAGGATAAATGTTGCCAAGAGCCATTTTGCGGAACGAAGTGTGGAATTTCTTGGTTACCTGGTTAGCAAGGATGGAGTACGTCCACTTCCAAATCGCGTCGATGCCGTCGTCAAATTTCCACTTCCGACGACTGTCAAAGAGCTTCGAAGGTTTCTCGCACTGGTTAACAGTTATAAACGGTTTATTCCTCATGCCACTGACGCCCAGATCGAATTACGGAGACTTATTCCAGACAACTGAAAAAACGATTCCAGGAAGCTATCATGGACAGAAACCGCCGAAAAAGTGTTCCAGGAATGTAAAACTTCGTTAGCGGACGCCACATTGCTGCATTTTCCCGATGCTACAAAACCGCTAAGTTTGCTCATCGACGCGTCGAACACAGCAGCAGGTGCGGTTCTCCAGCAGTTAGACGAAGGACGGTGAAAGCCATTGGGCTTTTACTCCGAAAAATTTTCGCCAGCGCAGCTCAAGTACTCAACGTTTGGTAGGGAGCTTACTGCGATGAAAATGTCCGTACAGTACTTTCGTCACCTACTTGAAGGAAGGAAATTCATTATATTCACCGACCACAAGCCACTCACAACAGCGTTAACTTCAAGTCCAAATTCCAGATTGCCGCACGAAGAACGATATCTATAATATATATCCCAATTCACCAGCGATATCCGGCATATCAGCGGGGAATTGAATGTTGTTGCGGATGCACTGTCAAGAATCGAAGCAATCAACGTTCCTATGGCAATTGATTACGAAACGGTTGCCAAAGACCAACAGGCGGACGTCGAATTGAAGCATTTTCTATTAACATCTGTACCCTTGTATTGCGACGTTTCACAAAATAAGGTAAGGCCGTACATCCCCTTGCAACATCGCCAGGCAGTGCTGAAACACATCCATGGATTAGCACATCCGGGAATTCGCTCTACTCGTCGATTGGTTGCCGATCGATTTGTTTGGAAAAACATGAATAAGGACATCAAGCAATTTGTTCAGAACTGTTTATCCTGCCAGCGTTCTAAGGTTCATCGACATACGAAAGCACCAATCGAAAAGATTCCCCTACCGGATAGCTGATTTCGTCATGTGCACATGGACCTAGTGGGTCCGCTGCCCCCTTCGAATGGATATCGTTATCTGTTAACAATCATAGACCGTTATTCTCGGTGGCCGGAGGCGATTCCATTACACGATATGACCACCGAAACAGTGGCTCGCGCATTTGTCGATACGTGGATTGCACGCTTCGGAATACCTGAGACTGTAACGACAGACCAGGGAAGGCAATTCGAGTCGGACCTTTTTCGTGAGTTATCAAGAGCGATAGGATCAAAACATGTTCGAACGACAGCTTACCATCCACAGTCAAATGGTTTGGCGAGTGTCCATAATGGCAGTGAGTCAAAAACATTGGACTGCTGAACTTCCTATAATCTTGCTTGGACTACGAACGGCTTATCGATCCGATTTCGGATGCTCGGTAGCAGAGTTGCTTTATGGACAGACACTGCGTATACCCGGAGAATATTTTGAGTCAACAGACGAATATAACGATCGCACTGAATTTGCAAAACAACTGAAATCCACTATGCGCAAATGGAAGCCTGCTGACCCAAACCATCATGTCAAACCGGCTGTATTTGTAAATCACGAACTCCAAAAGTGCAGTCACGTGTTCGTGCGAATAGATGCTGTGAAGAAACCACTTGTGCAACCGTATGAAGGGCCGTACGAAGTAGCTGATCGTCACGAAAAGTTCATGGATCTTCGAATAAATGGGAAAGTTCAACGAATCTCAATCGACCGCATCAAACCGGCATTCATCTGCAATCAAGGAGTGGATGGTCATCCACAGGACGATAAAAATACGAAAATCACACAATCAGGACACAAAGTTAGATTCCTGGTGTGACTTGGGGGGACTCTGTGGTGCTTGGTATTGTTTGTCAATCAGCGCACCCCTCGTGAGCGAACAGAGAAAAAGAGGAAGTGTCAGAGTTGTAAAACACGTGAAACAATAAAGAGCTCCTCGGGATTGTCGATTAAAAACAACAAGTTTTATTCGTTTTATTTATTCGCGGTCCGCGTTCGCGCCCCACAGTATCATGACAAAAACGTGAAGGCCATGTTAAAAAAACTAAAATGAAAAAGAAGTAGAGGCAAATTTCGGATTTAAATTGATTGCCGTAGGAACCTATCGAAGAGCTTTTTGAGTTTGTTGATTATTTCCTTTTAATTCCGTATCTTTTGACAGATACGCGTATTTTGTTAAGAGGTTCGACAAAATTAAAAGATTGGGCATTTTATTATTAAAACCATTTTGATTTCTAATTTTCTCTTATGGTTCGCATTTAGATGCATTCTGTACCTTTAAATGGTACTCCATCCTATTTGCTAATATCAAACGAAATACTGCTTAATAAGCGGAATAAGACGCGTGCAATTACTTTACATTACATGTTGTAAGAATAGAAACAAAAATATTAAAGCTTTGCTAAAAAAAAAAAAAAAAACGGTCAAAACACAAATTGGCACACACCTAACATGCGACAGTCTTTGTTTCAGAAACGAGAAAAACATACCAACTAAAAATACATGTGCGTCGTCATGATAAAATGCATCACCGTAAACATCCGGTCACTATTTCATTTCCTTGAGTAGCTCCATCGTGTAAAAATAACTGGCATTTAGATTCTTCCGGCTACGATCTGCTGGGCTGTCACGCGACTCTGGCAGCCGCCGAGGTGACTTCCGCTGGCAGGAGCGGATTTGATGATTGTCCAGTTGTGAAATCGTGTAGAAGCGTCTCTTGCACTTCTTGCAACTGATCGCCTTACGCTGATCATCGCTTTCGCTTTCGGCTTGACCTCCGCTGTTCGAATCCGGTGTGCGTGATAGGAGTCGGTTTTTAATCATATCCACTTCCTTCGGCGATGGTGGCATGGGTGGTTGAGGGAAAGGTGCCAGTCTTTTCAGATTATTCGGAGTGGCAGCTGTGGTCAGTGGTTGGCGATGATAGTTGAGATTGTGCACTTCCAGCTCGGTGACCGATTCGAATGTCGCATGACATTCTTCGCACCTGGTCACCGCCACGACCGGAGAAATTGAGGTAGATCCTGTGGTAAAGGAACTTCGTCCGTCGTCGCTTTGCTGCATCAGAGCAATAGGAGAAGGAATGATCGTTCCTTCCGGATTGTAGCTCACTCGAAGCTTTTCCAGGTTGGTCAAGAACGAACGTTCGATCTTGCTTTGATCATCATCGGCTGTCTGAGCGGTGGAAGTTGTTGCAACTTCCGATTCCGGTTCTGTACTTTCTTCGCCGTAACTGGAGATCACTTCAACCGTTTTCTTAACAGAAAATACCACTCTCCTGATGAACTCGAACGAAGAAATAGAACGATTTTCCTTGAGGAACAGGAAATGATACACTTCCCGTATAAATTTGACCAGCTTGAAAAGAAGACACTCCTTGAGGTGTTCATTGTATGACTCGTCGAACATGAATCGCTTCCGACAGGAAGGACATTTCTTTTCTTTGTAATCTTCCGGTAGATTAAACGTAATATTGTGTTCCTTCAGAACATCCAGCTCCATGACGTCGTCTTCTTGAAATTCTTTCTCTGTATAGCTGAAGAATCCACTGGCGCTTCCCGTCGCATTATCCTCGGGAGATGAATCTTGCCATCTACTCAAGAATGCCTCCTCAATACGCCGTCGTTCCTCTTCGGCATTGTTTTGCTTCTTCTTCTGCTGGACGCTCCCACCGAGCACCTGCTGGAGTACCTCCTTATCAAGATTTTTCTGATATGGAACGGACTTCCTTCCTCGTCCTCCCCCGAGATTCATCATCTTATAGCTAGCGACATTTACATTTGCCCGAATCACCGCTGGAGCAACCATAGTTGGAATAATCTCCTCCATATCATCCATATTCTTCGATTCCTTCCGTTGCTCCTGTACCCCGAGCAGGTACTTGGCAGCAAGCAATGCAGCGACATTGTCGATCGTTTGCCTTCGGAATGTGTAGGCGTGCTTCAGGTAGGAAATGCACAGAACGCAAATCTTCTGCGGAAGTCCATCATCTACGGTGATATCGAGTCCGGTCACCTCCGTTACTAGCCTGTGGATTGGCATCGTCCAGCGAGCACATTCCCGGGGATGTTCATGCAGGTAGGCTGGAATTTTGACAAATATGCTGTGCGATCCGGGAGTCGAGCAAATGCGGCACAAGTTTGCGATGTTACAGGACAGATCCCCGGCAGTGCTGCTAATCATGGTGCTGGAAGTATGTGGAAGGTTTGTTGAAAGAACAAGGGATTTTTCTGCGATTTACTTACCTCGAAAAAGAAAGCGGAGTGAATCGAAGGACGATGAACTGGCTGTTCCGTGGGTTTTTTTTTTCACGCACAGTTTGATGTTTGTTTTGAGCGTTTGTTTGATCTTGATATGAAAATTACTGTGAAGCGGCGCACATCTTCCCTTTTTTTTGACGTTTCACAGTACAACTTTTGAAAGAAGGTATGCCAAACAGCGATGCCAGGTGAATTTAGAAAAAAATTCATCACCTACACGGTTAGAAAACAGTCCCCAACGGTCAGTTTACTTTTACAGTATCGTTGTCTTCGTATCGCGTTAGGATGCATGCACTCGACTCATACGATGAGTCTAGAAGTGTTGGCGGGCATGTTGCCACTATCGGATCGGTTTTCGGAATTGTCCCTCAGGCTCCTCACCCGTTGCGAAGTTATGGACCCACTGGTAATCGAAAACTTTGAAAAGCTTTTTGAGCTGAACCCTCAAACTCGTTTTATATCATTGTACTACGTGCACATAACACTGGATGTCAGCCCTTCACGGCATAATCCCCATCGTGTATGCTTCTCCGACTTCGGCAATTCAGTTAGTATTGATGTATCTATGACGCGGGAGATTCGTGGGATCCCAGAACATCATCGTTCCATGATTGTTCCGTCATTATATACTGCAAAGTTTTGCCAAGTTGATTCCGCAAGATCGTTCTTCACAGTTGGATCACTAATAGAGGCATCCGCTGATTTTGGTATTTATAACGCATTTCATAGCGCCTCTCGAATGCTTCATGCTCCTTGTTCCGTATATGTTGCTGAACTGGCGGCAATAAATTATACGCTAGAAACGATCGCCTCACTTGCACCAGATCATTATTTTATTTTTACGGATAGTCTCAGTTCTGTCGAGGCTATTCGCTCTATGAGGCCGGTAAAGCACTCCTCGTATTTTCTCATGAAAAGACGAGAGCTTCTAAGTGCTTTATCTTTAAGATCTTTTGTCATCACCTTTGCATGGGTCCCATCTCATTGCTCGATTCCGGGCAATGAGAAGGCGGACTCACTTGCTAAGGTGGGCGCTATGCAAGGCGATATTTACGATCGACAAATCGCCTACAATGAATTTTTCTTCATTTATCGTCAACAGTCGCTCGCCAGTTGGCAAAATAAATGGAGTGAAGGGAGTTTGAGACGATGGCTATATTCGATCATCCCTAAGGTGTCGAAGAGTCCTTGGTTCAAGGGGTTGGATGTGGGTCGAGACTTCATTCGTATGATGTCTCGCTTCATGTCCAATCACTACTCGTTAAACGCTCACTTGTTTCGTTTTGGGCTGGGGGACAGCAATCTCTGTGAATGTGGACAAGGTTACCAGGACGCAGATCACATTATTTGGTCTAGTGCTGAGCATCGCGGAGTCAGATCCGAGTTGTATGATTCCCTTCGGGCTCGAGGTAGACAACCTAATGTTCCAATTCAGGATATTTTGGGTAGACGCGATCTGGAGTTTATGAAACTTATATATGTTTTCTTTAAGAATATTAACCTTAGATTGTAAGTTTGACTAACCTTGTGTGAAGTTTTTGTTTTGTTCGTGTGGGGTTTTTTTTTTAATGTTTGTTTCTGTAATAATTGTATAATTACACTGTGGATACCAAATTGAATAGGAATAAGTTCATTTTTTAGGAATAATGAAATATTTGTATCGTAAATCATAACTCAAACCTCCTCCTCCCTCTCCCCATCCATAAAACCACAGACAAACAGACGTAACTCTTTGAAAAAGTTTTTCTTGAAAACATAGTATCTCAAAACATAGGACCTCAGTAGCGACATCTTTCAGGCTTCTCGCGGAAAACAAGCTTGCTCGCTAACTCGCAAACAATATTGCATAAAAGTTCCATAGAATGTATAGAAACGTCAAAGTGATCCGATGCCAGCGCTGCGGCGAGTAGTTCGCGGAACTGATAATATTCAAATCAACCGTTAAATGCGTGAACGAAGATACACAATGAAGAGTTACGTCTGTTTGTCTGTGATAAAACTGTAAATCTCGCGAGTAATCGGTTCAGTTCCTTTAAATCTAGATTTAAGACATCAATTATGTATAATGCAAATGATAACTTGGCTCTGTAAAGTTTATTCGATTGAGCCTGTACAAATAAATTAATTAATAAAAAAAAAATAGTTTGTCTCCTTTTCTCCTTCTAATGTTGCCAAAAACGGAGGAGCAAAACCACCCACCAGTAAAGGGTGGGTTCCCAACGTTGAGTTTAATCATATTTACCTACTTTTGGGTAGAAAGCGACTGGAAAATTCTAGAGTCAGTGTATAATACACCGACTCTAGAAAATCCATACGAATTCAGGCATAACATTTGAAAACGGCACAAAAGCCATTACCACGTACTCGAGAAAATTGCGATTGAAGTTTGGAAATTTTTATTTAAATCTCTATTTAAATTTAAACAGCTAAACAAACTTATTTTTAACAATTGTATATGAGATATCATAAAGGTTTTCTTTTTCTAGCTCGAATGTTGAGTTTTGGTTTCTATGCCCCTACCTATAAATGTTTTAACATACGCCCTTGAATTTAGGTCAATTACTTTTTGTTTTGTGTTGGTAGTTTGTTTATAGGCCCGTGATTTGATGCCCTTTGCTAAGCGTAAATAGTTTACAATTCCTTTGATATTTTTGCTTGATTAGCTGTAGACTGAACAATTTTATGTATTTTATAATCAGTTTGAATTGATTTCAATGCGGAGCAGTATACAACTTAGTTAATAACAGAATAGGGTTTTGCTGAACAATAATATTCATGGTAACAAAAATGGGTATGTATGCATTTCATAGCAATATTGATGTGAATAAGTATTGAATTTAATTTATTTTGCAAAATAATGCACCTTACAGATAAACATCCCCTTGAGCTTCCACTGATGAAAAGGCTGCTAAAGCATGATCTGAAATCAATTCAAAGTACTTATGGTTTCAAAGAAAGAAGAGTTAGTAAAATACAGTGGATCAATCTCTGGACTCGAGGCCACTATGAAACTGTCCTGTGATGCATTATTTTGGCCTGGGATTACCTATCGATCAAACTTGTCAACTGATCTGACATGGGATTTAGCAGAGCAACGTTTGCAAAAACTTTGTGCCAAATTAACAGCCACAACCATCAAATATCCAGGTAATCTTTTTACAACCTCAAGCTGGTTCTGAGCGAGATCGATCTGGGAGGAAAGAAGTAGTCCGTTTACCGTTCAAAGCGAAGGAGCTCATGTCTCCGACAACAACAGCCGTCATCAGATTAGTCCAGCCTCAAATTGTATATTTGCACAACGAAGTGCAGTTTACTAGTGAGCAGTTTGCATTGGTTCGAGGATTCCAGAATGCCGTTTCAAACAACCAACAAGCTAACGATAAATTTGACTCAGCAGAGAAAATCACTGGGAAGTTAATGAAGAATAGTTCAAGTTTTGAGATAAGAATAAAATAATATGAATGCTGTATTTCCCTTACATTAGGAAAATTAACCTCGTTTATTTATGCCAAATGGTCCAATATCATTAATGAAAGCCCCCTTTATTTACGCGAGAGGATCCAAAGAAAAGGATTCATTGTTCACGCAGTTTATGTTCTCCAATTCTTCGTCGTAATATAAATCTGCCTCAAAATGGTCGACTGCCTCTGCTTTTGCCTTCCTTCCACGCTGCTTCGGGACCAGCTGCTTCAAGAAAAGCTCGTAGTAAGCTTTATTTTTCACATACTTCAGCAGCTTCCGGAGATCTTCTAGTTTGGCTTGTGGTAAAGGTAATGGAGACAGTGTAATCGGTCTCGGAAGTGGTGGTACCCCTGCCGTTTTTGATTGAAACACGATTCGTGTTACACGAAGGATGAATACGAAGATTCATTGACGTCATATTTATAGAAAACAGTTCTTGGCGATGATGTGCGGTATTGGAAGCTCATTATCTGTTTGAATTTGAATGTTTCACCGTTTATGTTTGCAGTGGGTTTAGTGTAATGCATTTCGAGGTCCTTGAGCCCCAAGAAATCCGATAGCTCCATTTCAATAACACTGAACGGCACTTTTCGGCGTATGCCAGCGATAAATACCGCCCAATCGTGAGGCGTTTCTATATCAATAGCAGCTACTTTTTTCGCCTTTTCGATACTTGCATGGACACAGTCGACTTCCATGTGACTATGTCCAGTGCACATGAAATTATGCGTTATTGTGAGCTCTCGATTTGCATTGACACATTCGTCAATGAAGAATGTGAACATCATGCACACCGTTATGTTAAGGTTTTGACCGCCACATCTGTCTGAGTAATATTGCAACCGTGTTACTTCTTTCTTAGTACTTCGCAGATCTTTAAGAAGGCATGATGCTATCTCCTGAGATCCCCTACGGGCCTTGCTTTCATCCCAGATGTAACAAGTTGCCTGATTCAAACCATCACTTGTTTCGAATGTGGTTAAGTTAAGTGTATACAGTTGACGAGAATAATATGACTGTCCGCATTTTAAATGCGGAGTTGCAAGCACCTTCTGCAAATCAAAAGTCACAGTTCGCACAGTGGATGAGTTCTTTGCGTCGGCAATATCTTGTCGCTTCGATGCATAGACTCGTGTGGCTACTTCATGGTGAGCTTCTTGTGATTTTTTCACGATATCTCGTTCAAAATCGTCACAGGCTATCTGCAACTTCATTCTAAGCTCGTCACATTCGCCACACGTGTCTGTCTTCGGTTTTCTGAATGAAAAATTGAAAGTTTTGAAGACACTGCGATACGTGTTATAATGCACTTGTGGGATGTTGGACTCAATGCACACTTGCTTGTACAGATCATACATTTTCATAATTGTAAGATCGCCAGATAAATACAATTTAGTTGACTTTTCGCGTGTATAGTGTGAATCATAAGCTGGAAACGACAAAATATGAGCTTTGATCATATCTAGCTGCGTTTCTGTGATTCGGTTCGGATTGCGATTCTTCATTCTCAGATCATCTGGGCATATTCCGGCATTCTTGATAACTTTGGAGGCAAGCCATCTTATTTTCTTATCACCCACATCGAATGTACTAAGGAACATTTGC